GATTGGGGCAGGGCTTAAAATACATCTGATTTCAAGGGACACACTTATTAATTTAACTGTTACTTTTGGGCTTTGGCAGATTTCTATACCAAAAAAAACCTGCGGGGGTTGAAACAACCAAAATCCCTTAGTAAGGTAACTTTCATAAATATTTTAAATCACTAAAAACAGTAAAAGCCTATACTAAGCCTTGTTTGTAGTAAATTAGGAAATAATGAAATATGTTTGTAGGTTACCATCATCAATTAGAATATAATTAATGTAACTAGATAGTTTACAAGAATACTCAACGTTTTTTAAAAAACAAATTTGATTATGTTTAGAAAATAATATTGGGCTTGATAGTTAAATAAACTATTATAATATAATAATATATGTATATTATTATGTATGTAGAACCTTTTAGTTATATTTATTAAACAACACAAAATATCTAGCTAATTCTTTAAAATCCAATTTAGGTTTATAATAATCTGTTTTTTTTTTAAAAATATTTTAACATATTTTAGACTTAAAATAAATAACAATAAGTAGGTACATATTTATAATATGTTATAGCTAGTATGCCTAGTTATACAATATTATGACAATATGCTATAATTTACAATGCTCTTACTAGTTAACTTTTCAGTACCTACCTACCTAAGTTACAGTAAACAATATTGTATTTCAATAGATACAACATAGAATAATTTTAAATATTTTATGTACTTGCATGTTTAGTTGTTTAATATAAAGGCAGATACCTACTTTTTTTGTATTGGCCCATTATCATTTCTTCTTTTTTTTTTTAACAAACTTGTCCATAGATAGTAGGAAATAAAATAAGTAGTATATTTAATAGGTAACAATTAAATTAAAATATTAAATGATTAAAGTTTGTTATATCTACAAAACTAAAAACACGTCATAAAACTCGGGACACACATTTGTCAATCAGGGGGCACACTTTGATTTTCAGGGGACATAGTAGTTTTATCATAGCCTTTGAAATATTCGTATAATTTCATTATTATTATGTCAAAATTAAGCAGTGTTGAAAAAATTCGTTTATGTACATATGGTGTATGCACATATTATTATATCGAATAAAACACTCGTCCAATTTTAATAATGCAGTTAGTAAATTTCATAAAATCATAAATTTAAATTTTATTTTATCACAAAAATATATTAAGTGATTCAATATTTAATAAATATTAAATTTATAATATACATAAACATCAACGAATATATTATCTATAGACCTATAGATAAAATATCAATTTTATTTTTTAGATATATTTAACACAATAATATATATTTACTAGGTACTATATTGTTCTAAACATCACAGCTCTAATAATTTATTTGTCAAAGTAATATTTAAATGAATTATTCGTTTGAAATAAAAGGCATGGAAATAATCTGATATCGAGCTCTTCAATATGAAATTGAAAACTAAAATCACTTGGTTTAATAAAAGGTGTACATAATTATGATGATCGAATGTTAAAATATTTTAAGATTAAATTAGTTTTAGAATAAGTAATACAGCTTTGTCGATAAAGCTTTCTTCGTAATTTAAATTGTTGTATAAGCTTAATCATATAGCAATGATTAACATTAGGTATATTGCTTGTACGTTAAACTGTAAATGAATCCATCACAGCTATACATTATTATTAGCATAGCATTTAAATAGCTCACCATACATTTTTTGCGTAGCAGTGTAGAACTTTCAAAAGTAAACATTTAGTGTCAGCATCACTTGAGTACATGAGTCGTATGTTTAACAATGTATCCCACTAATATCTACCAATATTTATTTATAGTCTATAACTTATAAGTACCAATTTCAATTGATCTATTAAATATTATTCAAGTTTAATATTTTACATTCTATATGTAGTGTTTTAAATTTTAATTCAATTTAATAAATTTTTATTTCATATTATATGCTTATTTACAATCTATATAGGCGTATACAATAAGTAAATTTTACGATTTTTATGTAACCATATCATATCACAATGAATAATATGGTTTGACTGTTTGAGACAATATTAATTGTTATCACTCATTTTTAATTAAATTTAATATTGATTTTTAAGAACCTTTATTATGCATTTTATTACAATAAAAAATGTTTATTTGAATACCATTTAATGTAAAATATGTGTGATTAAAATATATATTATGTAAACAATACAAAATTATAATCACAAATAAGTGACAATAATAATATGATGTTTAATTATGATTGATGAAATATACATTATATAAAAATACTAATAATTTGTATTTTGATACACTTAATCAGCTTGGGAAATAAAAATATAATTATAATTATTGTGTTATTAGTTATAATTGTTGTGCTAGGTATTATATTTGTATGCACAAACAGAAATATGGGTTGTTTTAAACGATAATTGATCATATTAGTAAATGTTATACAAACATATATGATTTGACTTTTGTTTTATTTAATTAAAAAAATATTTTATACTATTACAACTAAAGTAATTAAAATATGAAAAATATTTTTAAAAAAATTGTAGTTACTCGATTTAAAATATAGTGCTTCATATTCATTGTATCTAACCTAACCTAGTCTAAAATAGTTTAACTAAAACCAGTGTGCTATATTTCTCAATGTATTACCACAACTCGACCACAACTCTTACTGAAAATACAGGGAAAATCAAAAAAATACTTACTCTCATGTCATTGTGACAAATGTATAAATTATAGCAGTTTTAAATGTAACATTTATATCACTCATCCTAACTAAGCGAAATACGTCCTAACTAATAAAAAATAAAACCTAATATAAAATTATAAAACCAATACATTCGCTCACGATCTAAAAATAATTTACACTCTGAAAGTTTAAATTAATTACATACATCTCGCCTTGGATCATAAATTATAATAGGTATATACATACTATAACTACAGCAGTTATTAAATTATATAATGGTTATAATACGGTTCGCTGGTCCTGCCGATGTCGCAACTGAGTACCTAATGCTTTGTTACTAGGGATACAGTTAGTTCTTGCCTTATGGGCCAATTTAACAATGGACAGAGAACCATACAAGATAACTCATACACTAAGTTATTTCGGAACCTTGAGGTCTGAATACCACCCATATAGGTAACTATGTATACTAACGTCGAGCACATACACACACACACAATGTCACAATTCCTTCTGTGGTTACAGGACCGCTGTGGTACCAATATCGATTTCACAACAGTGTTTCCGTACGTGTAACCGATCATTTATTTGTTATCTCGATCGATGTTTTTTTTATATATGTGCCATCAACTTCGTTTGTTAATATTATGAATTTGGTTTTTGTTTTTACGATAAAGCAAGGTCGGAGTACCTGTACAACAATACAGAAAGAATATCTTATACCATTCAAGTGTACATAATAATATTGAATGGCAACAAGTTGTTCACAGTGTGTTATTCTATACAAAGTGTGGATTTGATCATTCATTATTAACATTCATGCAGATGATAGATACCTACCTACCCACATACCTATAACCCGTTCCTCAATATATGTGTTGATGTATTATGTACACCGATTTATATGATAGGTGCGACGTTGACATGCGACAGTTGCTTCACATTTTCGTTGTTCGGTTGTTCGTTGTTGTAATATGTTTTCTTTTTTTGGAACACATATTTTATCAGAACTAACTGGTTTTAAAATGTGCATACAGTATAGATCTTTAAAAAAGAGATTAGTCTTAGATCAGATTTAGTCATAATGGCCATAACTCGATGCTTTAACGGATCCTACAACGAATCTACTATTTTCAATTAAATCTTGTAATTTTTAAAAGTCAATTTAATTTAAGATATTTTGATGATATCATGTGTCATTAGTGCTTCTGTAGATTTAATGATTGACGTTATACGATTGAGTTTACTTTAAAAAGGTAATTTTTTAATTTTTACGAAGCAAATTTTTTTGCGAACACAATAATTCACTATTTGATATGAATATGTACAGTACACAAACGACTACTACTTACAGTCAAAGTTGAATGTTGAATTGGCCACCTTCTATAGTATCTCATATTTGTTAAAGTAAATAAATTTAGTACATTAACGTCATCAGTTTTAAATTTTAATAGTGTGATGTATCTTTTTAAAACCATCCGTTATTACTTATTACAATGTACTATGTCTTTTATATTAATATCGATGAACGAGAACTGGTAAAAATATAATATATTCTTGAACTATAGTATATTATAGTACCAATATACAGAGGCGCTGAACTTTTTAAAATGTGGTTGGGTAATTTAAAAACTTCGCATCCTCAATATCTTAATGGTTTAATATACATAGAGGTACCTTAATATACATTTATTCATAATCATGGCTTAAATATACTCATACTCATAATAAAGTTATAATGTAAATAAAATGTGGACGGCAGCCGCATTTTTCAAAAAAGAGGTTTGGCCACGGCCCGACGTTATCATGGCCTTCGGTGCCACTGAGTATAATAGTGTATATATATATATAATATATTTGTATATTAGACAATATCAAATTTCCACACGATACCTATACTTAGTACCTAAGTGTGTTATAAATTATAATATTATAACAGAATAAAAGACATGAATTATTTTCATGACAGAACTTATTAAAAACACTCAAGTAGGTAGGTATAGTTGCTTGTATCATGGTATAAAATATAATCTTAAAATAATAAACAAGGCATAAAATAGTATTCATGGCATGTGAAAGACTGTCGAGTGTAAAATACCTATCTAGATTTAATTATTAATAAATATGTGTACCTACCTTAATGAACTTTCATTGTGTACATTTTATGTACAGAATAGAGGACAATGACAATGACAAAAATAAAAATTATTAAATGGCGTTAATAATTAATTCGAAAATATATATTATATTGCAATGTGTAATTGTGAACAATTCAACAATATTATTTTTATTTGCAGATATTTAGACTACGATCGCCATGTCGGAATACAACGGTGAAGCCAAGTACCGACCGAAACGGTATCAGTCTATTGCCAAGTTGTTCAAAAAACGTGTGCCGATCGTTTCTTGGCTACCCAAGTACGATGCAGATCAAGCTGTCAGTGACTTGGTCGCCGGGGTCACTGTTGGACTAACAGTCATGCCACAAGGGCTGGCGTATGCTACGCTTGCTGGTCTAGAACCGCAGGTGAGTCAAACTTATACCGGTGGCGGATTAAGTAAAAAAAGTATACATGATTATGCTGATAGGATAAATGAAAATATTGAAGTGTATTATTATGTATACAACAATAGTACCTGTTTGATAAAACATCATTTTTTGATAATGTAATAATAATAATAATAATAATAATAATAATACTCGCTAAATTTGTAGAAGGCGCATTACACGGGATTCGTTTGATTTTCTAGTTAATTAATTTGTTTGCTTTGTTTATGGAGAAGGAGGAGGCTTTTAATGAACTACATGGCACCATTTAATTTTTATAACTTTTTAATTGGGTGTCCTGAAAAAATAGCTCGGTGAGGTTTTTTATTACAAAGTTTAGTCGATTTGAGAGTGAATTTATTATGTAACATAAAACGAATAACTTAAATTTTTTTGTTTGTATGTCATTGGAAAATGTCTAGGTTTTAACTTCAGAGTGATAATGTTCCCAAGAGGCAATGTCCGCTATTAATTTAAAGCACATGATCTGTCGTTATTTAAATGTTATCAAAAATATGTAGGTTTAACTACTTCAGTTTAACTTTTTTTGACCACATTAAAAAAACATAAGATAAGCTTCCACAATTATAATACTATAATCCTATCATAAAATACCCAAGTATTTAATATTTTACTTATTATATTAATTTTGTTTGTATTATATTTCAAAAGTACAAGTGACAATTTTTTATTGCTATGATTTAGTTTTTATGAAAAACAAACAAGTTAGGAAAGCTCACTCGGTGAACGTGCTAAATTCTAAACTTATTTTAATACAACGAAACAAATTATAATTCCATGTACAATGTATGTACCTAAAGTAACTAGGCATAGTCAATAAATAAATAAAAACCCACAATATAATTATATTATTATATTAACAATCGTACCTACTAAATGTACTGGTAAGTAGGTAACAGGTGGGCGGACGGATACAACGGTGAACGGGAACATAAGGTGTTATAACTTATAAACATATGTTTAGAAACCCAAAACTAAACACATTTTGATTAAAATTAGTTTTTTTATGACATATTTAAGGGCACATTTGAATGTGTTAGAGTGTTATTATCTATTCATATTTGTAGCTCATAAAATGACTAGGAAGTAACTTAAAATAATGTTTAATATAGATAGTTATTTATACCAGGTAAAATAAATTACTGAAAATGTTAAATGTATGTATATGTGTATACAATTTTATATGCATTCATTCTTTGAATAAATATATACCAGTTTTTTAGTTTGCTGAATTAAAATAACTGCCAATGTAAGTACTATGAAATATTCCATATTTTTTTAAATGACATTCTAAATTCATATTTATTTAATGTAATAAACTCCTAGCTAATGTATCAATAAAAAAAAAATCATATATTTACTTATTTAAAGTTTATAATTTCATACACTATCCACTATCCAGTTGCCGGAAGTATGAAAATATCTGATATGACCTAAACATATCACAATAACCACCTCCACATGGCCTCAGCTCCGGAAAACAATACAGAAGCCAAAATAATTGATTTTTAAAATGGCTAATTTATAAAATATAATATGGGTCGAAAATAATCTATTGAAAAAATATGTAAATAATATGTATGGTCAGGTTCCCTCCTCCTAATGTAACATGTTGACGATAATGATCCCGGAAGTCGTAGCGTAAAAAAATTGTGTTGTGCACGAAATCTGTGAAGTTTTTGCATAATATGGATTTATTCATATTACTATATTATATTCATAATCTTAAATAATTTCCATTTATTTTGATTAATCTATTTAACTATAGCCTATTGAGTGGACAAATGCCTAATATGTACTTGAGTCATGAATCTCTTATTGTGCGCAGACTGCATTCACAGTAGTATTTTCTAATTAAATTAAATACATTTTTGAAAATATCTGTTTGGTAACTATAAATTGTTTACGTATCTATAATTATTATTGGAGCTCTGTCGAACTAATTATTTATGGTATTATGGTAATATAACATAATATAGAGCGAGGAAAAGATCAGTTCGTTATTATTTTAATTTGTTTTTCGGGGCATTGAGCGCTGCTTCAGAAATTTCGTGTTGGCCATCATTGGGTATGCAATTAATCGTAAATCGTACGATTAATATACAACCTAAATCTATTAGAAACAAGCTTCGTACTTCAGATGAGTGAAGTTAAAGCTGAACAAATGATTTTCAGAAAATTGTGAAAAGCCGATATTCTTGATGAATTGAGTAACGAATTATTTATAAAATGCGATGATCCCTACCTCCCTAATCAAATGTAAAATACTGTGATATTTTACTTTCGCGTGCACCAAGATGAGTGCAAATCCTGGTTTATGTATCCACTATCCAGTTAGGTTTTTTTTATTTTTATATAATAAAATATTAATTTTGAAAAGTGCTATTCTTTGTGTAATTGAATACATTGGTTTTGTGATGTACCTACGCTTTTTTTTACTGCTATAAGCTTATAAGATAACGTATTACAAAATTGTAGCTTACTTTGTTAAGAAAGGTTATCACTTATCATATTAAAAATATATCTATATGGTATATACACTAAAGTCATGATTTATTTTATTTAGATAACACAAAAAACAATGATGATGAATTATTTTGTTATTGTCTGTTAGATAAACGATATAATATCATTTTATAGAATATTTAGTTGAGTATTAATTTTTTTCTTTTGATATATATCTTTTTAATTTTTACTTTTTAATGTTCGAATATTCGAATACATACATTTTATTATAATATTTTTTAATTTAATATTATATAAAAATACATGTTCAAATTTTTGTGTCTGAGTAAAATTTAGTAAAAAATTATGAGATTATGTTTGTCGACTGATTTAGTTTGTATAGGTTGGATGTTATTTTAGATTATTAGTTAAGCAAAAGATTAGAATAGTCTTACAACAATGTAGTATACATTTTTTTGATTATTATTTTAATTTTATGTGTATATTTTTGGTTGATGTATAGGTAGTTTAACAATAATGTTTTAATGTTTATATAATATAATATAAGGGGCTTGATGTGGCTTGGTAGTTGGCCGCAGTCGCTAATGTGTGCTCCGGTGCAAGCATCGTCCAGCGTCACTAGCTCCCGGATGGGTGACCACCTAGGTTTTTAGCTACGAATCCTCACCCCACATACAATCGTGTTGCTGAAAACCCCAACCGTGTAACCCCCCACAAAATGCTAATGGCCATAGTTACTAATGTTTGAAAAACTTTTATAAAAATGTATATAGGTATATATAATTTAATATTAATATGTGTATATTTTTTTTTTTACAGTATGGTTTATATTCTGCGTTTGCTGGATGCATTGTTTATACGGTATTTGGCAGTTGTAAGGACATTACCATTGGACCTACAGCATTAATGTCACTTATGACTTACCAACAAGTGGTCAATAGAAACGCAGACTATGCAGTATTATTATGTTTTTTGTCTGGTATCTTACAGTTCATTATGGGATCACTTAAACTAGGTATGTAATAATTAAAAATAATTAGGACACTAATTATGTTAATTTATATACTTTTTATAATTTTAAATCAATCAGTAAAATCATATCATAAACATACTAAGTATACCTAGTTATTTTGGGAAACCTGTTTACTTGTTAGTTTTTTCTCTTTGTAATATGAAGAAACATACCACCATCAGGGTTTGCTGGTATAGTTTTTGGATTCATTTTTATCGGCAATTTCATACTTTTGGACAATGAAATGTTATAAGTTGATAATATTCTAAACAGTGCCACTTTTATTTGCATCATTCCAAATCGCATACCTAAACAAGTTAATAAAATATTTTCATTGTTATTCGCTTATTAGCAATAATAATTTAATAATAATTACCAATGCATAATCTAGGACCAGCGCCAAATGGCAGGTATGCATATTGTGGTCTATTGCGCTTTTCTTCCTCTGTAAATCTTTCCGGAATGAATTTTTCCGGTTCTGGCCAATATTCTGGATCGTTGTGGATACCATACACTGGTATGACCACCTGGAGCCCTTTAGCAAGGGTGAAATCTGAGTTGGGTAACTTGTACGGTTTTACTGCCTTCCTGGTCAAATTAGGCACTGGTGGATACTTCCGCAAAGCTTCTATAAATTAAAATTGCAAAAAAATGTTTTATTTTAATATTTAAGTAATTTAGTTTTTCTACTAACCAGATACAATCATATCTAAATAAGGCATTTCTTGCAATATTTCATAAGTTAATTTCCCATCGTATTTACTAAGCACTGAATCAATTTCATCTTGAGCTCTCATCTGTACGTCCAGGTTCTGGGCAAGTTCAAAAAATGTGAATGTTAAAGTAACCGATGAAGTTTCATAGCCTCCAATAAACCATACAAAACATTGTGCCGCCAAAACGTCCATACTAAATTTAAAATCTGAAATGTTCTGAACAGTGAAACTTCCATATTACGAAGTGGAACATAAAAAAAAATTTGTATTATAGAGAATTTTGTTAAATAGAATTGAATAAATTTGGTTCTAATTTGTGTTGGTTCTTAAAAATATTTCGTTAAACAGAAAATTTTCTCAAATGGAAATTAGTTTTATGGAATTTTCACTGTATTTTACTATGGTATCAAGTTCTATACCTATAAGATAAATCAGCCTTTTTTTCAAATTACATTCTGTAATCAGTGGCGTGGTGAGAATATTTTGACACCTTATTGCAAAATTTAGGTACCATCAGTGTCGGCTTGGTACTTAAAGGGCCATGGATGCATTTATACAGAAGGGTCACCAAAAATGTTATTTCAAAAAATTATAAAAAAGTGCTTATAAGTAGGTAGTGAAGCGAAATATTATATTTTTGGAAAAGTGCCTTATTTAAAATACACATTAAAGTTAACTATATAGTTATGGTAATTATTTATAATTCCAAACAATTATGTAAATAATACCTTATAATATTAATATATTATACAACTTAATATTTTTTAATGCTATTCAAAGTGTGTAATTGATTTTCTTTATATCAGTAATTTTCGATGAAATGATAATAGTATTATACATTATAATGGTATAATATTATATAATAATATTAAATATCCAATATTCATAATAATATAGTATTATCGAGGAGCTCCATTATAATCATTGTCCATTGATAATGCATTTTCATATGCCAACTTAGAAGGAACACTTCAATGGGTGGGCAATGGTGGCAGTGCATTGTAATGTAAAGTAAATCCACAAGATATCATTGACATTTTGTCAAAACAACATGAAGGACTGACTTTATTTTACTATTATTATTTAGATTTTAGGTATACTTATTAGTTATTTGTAAAAATTAATAGGTAAATGATTTATAAAATTGGATGATCAAAAGGTGGGTTTGACGGGAAAAGACCCCCACTTACATCAAATCACACAACTAATTCCTAATAACGCCACTGAGATAAACTAAAAAATATATAGGTACCTTCTTTTTGGTCATTCTCGTCAAATATTGATTTACTGTCTTCCTCAGAAGCTAAATTTTGGCCTCGTTTAATTTTCATTAGTAAGTCCAGAAAGTCATTTCGTTGTATACCGTTCTCTTCCCTATATTTGACTGTATCATTTACTACATTATAGAAAAAATCGGCATATTCTTTTTTGACACTTCGTACTTTTAGTAAGCCAATTAAACTTGGAGCCAGCGCATTCAGCGCATTTCTAATGATAGTTTCGAGACTAGTGGAAAATAGCATTCGACCAACTCTCCGAAATTCTGCATCAGGATTTGCCAACGAATTGGTTTCGAATCCAAACGCCACAATACTAATGACATCGGTTGAAAATCGTGCTAATAATTCTTTAAATTCTACCTGCAATTATTTTAAAACCTGTACATATTTATAATCGTAACAAAATCCATTGAAAACCACTGTGTTATTAGTTATGTTTAAATGTAAAATTTTATATATAGGTATACTGTATAAATAGTTTACTTGTTCACCGATCACTGCTGATTCCTCCAGAACCCTGACCATTTCTTGAGCTCGACCGTCTATGAGATCAATCATGTTCTTTATTTTTCCAATAGTAAATGCTGGTGTCAATTTATTTCTTAAGACTTTCCATCTATGGCCTTCCAGTGTTAATAAATTACCAGTTAGCGGTTCCAGCTTGTCGTCGAATACTATTCCGCGGTTGGGAAACGTTGAAAATTCTTTTGTAAACACGTCTTTAATAATATTTAAATCTCGAAGCATTAGCTTCGGCTTTTGGAACTGATAGAACCCAACAAACTTGTATCCACCAGTATTGTAATATATGTTAGCATAATGTTCGCCAACCCATGTTTTCATTTTAGTTACCTCCTTAGTATGCCCATATATAATGTGAGGTTTTAACGGGACAGGGCATCCTTGACGTTGCCAAAATGTATAGCGATATCTTAGGTAGAGATAAAATGTTGTAGAAATTATAATGCCATAAGCCACCAGATTTAGTAGCGAACTATCGAAAAAAACCATATCTCCTGTTAATGAAACAATTATCATTATTATAAATAATTGTTGTCATATTTTCATTCTTAAAAATAAATAAGATATAAGTGTATACATTAATGTCATACTTAACTAACTTTAACGTATTATAGTACGTTTGTTTTCATACAAATGAATTAACCATAATATATGTCTAATTTAAGTTACTAAGATTTTAAATGAATGATGTCTAAACATAATTATAACATTGCAAATTATATACTTATTAGGTAGCATTAAATAGTATTTTACCTCTTTATAATCTCAACAATTCTTTAGTTTTCGGCAGGTTAATCTGACATTTGCTCGAACATAACACGCACATTTGTGTTGTTAACGTATGTGACTATTATTCATCTAGTAACTATTTTAACAGACTGTTAGGTACAAGATGTAGCAAGTTAATACTTGCATAATCGATTTTTTTTTCATCCCGTCATGTAATACTTTTAAATGATAATAAATAATAAATACTTCATAATATCAAACGTATATGTTTTAATTATAAAATAAATCTATTATTTTTTATAAGTGGAAAAGGTAGTTATATGTTTGTTTGAAGTCGTTGCGGTATGAATCGTAAACACGTATATCCAGACGTTTTTTTTCAAATGATTCACGTTGACCTGCAAAGAGACCGGCAAAGAGCCGCAAAAAAAAAAAAAAACAAAAAACACTTACCTATCTATTCAGCAGAGTTATAATAATAATCATCATAATTATATTTTAAATGAAGTACCTAATCCATATTGATATTCCATACTATAAGGCGTATTAGTACGTATAGGTACTCTTTTATTTATTTTTTATTTTGTTTATGTTAACATTTTTTACATAATATTCTTACAAAATGTATGTGTGGCAATACAAATTACAAATTAAAAAAAAAAAAATTATATTTAAATGTAAATCTTGGTTATGTAAAAAGTAAGAATATAATATACCTCTATATTTATAATCTAGATCATCATACAACAATTATATTATATAGGTATTATGTGTATCAAAATATAACTAGTAATTATGATTTGTTTTTTACATTTATAAGTTTAACTAAACTGTAAACATATTATTATGCATTGAATGCAGTCATGTTTTATTTTAATATATGCGTATAATAATTTTAATCTAGGAGTATTAATTGACTTCATTTCCATCCCGGTGACCGTTGGTTTTACATCAGCTACGTCTGTTATCATAGCAGTATCTCAATTAAAGGGTCTTCTTGGCTTGAAGTTTGAATCATCAAGCTTTTTAGATTGTCTGCTGAAAGTGTACCAGAATATTGGTAATTACCGCGCCAATGATACAATTCTAGGAGTTACTTCTATCATCATACTACTCATGCTTCGAGTAAATAATTTGCGTTCTATTCCTAGGCTAATTCGATTTTTTAAACATAATAATAATTGCACTTTAATTTTTAGAAAGTGAAAGATATTCAATTATTAGGACCTAATGGTAAACCGTCCAACAAACAAAGAACAATTATGAAAGGGCTGTGGCTGCTCTCCATATCAAGAAATGCTTTAATTGTGGTTGCTTGTTCAATAATTTCATATTGGTGTTATAAACCAGATTCAGAACCTTACGTGACTTTAATCGGTAAGTAAGAAATTATAAATCTTATAGTCTACCAAAATATTCTTTGATAAATAATAATTTAATTTGGTACGTACCTACCGATAATAATTAAACTTAAATCTATAAATTAAGATTGTAATCATAAATTGTTATTTTTATAAAATGTTCCTAATATTATAACTTTTACTATTATTAAAATAAAATTGGTTATACTTTCATAGTTAAGACTGTTATATTATTATTTATTGCAATTTACAATAGTAATTTGTTTTATACTAATTCATTGTACGTGGAGATTTTTAAGAACATGCATATTTTAGGTTTAACATGAAGACATTTATAAGAAATATTTTATAATTTTGATGATTTATTATAATGATAAACCAAAAAATAATATTTAAGCATACATTTGAAAATTTTTAATTTCACTTTTCAAGCTAAAAATGTTTATTATTATGATAGCATAAATCATATAATATATATATATATATATCATATATCATATCATATTTATAATCATAAACCATCAATCATCATAATATAATGTTTATGATAAGTACTATCGTGTTTTCCATAAGTATTATGGCCTTCAGGCCTTCTGTAGTTCTGTATGGGACTGCGCGATTATTTTTAACCCTATAATAATCGAATATTAGTAAAATGTTCGATTATAATCGATTAATCGAATAATCTGATAGTAGTACCTAGTCAAAATGGCGAATAATCGAAAAGTAATTGACTAGGTATTCAAATTTCCGATTAATCGAATAAACGAATAACCGAATAATCGAATAATCATACTGATACTACACAATATATTATAGTGTTCTAATAACATACGCAGTAATATGAGGAATCAAATAAATAGACTGGTTTAAACGCTTTATTCATAAAAACATAAAATAAACTAGTGCAACGTAAATTAACTGCCGCTTACCTTAAGGGTCAGTCTTAATATTAAAGCTTATAAAAATAAAATAATATTTAAAAAGCTGCCTTTGCTATAACAGTCCTTATTCATCTTAAAAAAAATAAGCTTGCTGGCGCATGTTCGTTAGTTAACGATGATGTATGATCGGTTAATACACAGCCCCCTTTACTAAAAATGTTTTTGCTCCAGTTGCGAATACAAACAACAAACGATAATTTTTATATTTATTATGTCTATTTTTTGTTTTAATTATACCTAATTAATAAGTAATAATCGATTAAAAAATACTTGGTTATTCGATTATTAATAATTATTCTTTAAAAATAATCGATTAAAACATTTGATTAATTCAAATAATCGCACAGCCCTACATGTGTACCTATACCAAAATTGATTTTAATTTATGTGTATATTTAAAGGAAAAGTAAGATCTGGATTGCCACCGTTAAAACTTCCACCGTTTGGAACGGAAGTAAATGGTACAGCGGTTAGCTTCATTAATATGTGCTGGGATCTCGGATCTTCCATTGTATTAGTGCCGGTGATTGCTGTTCTTGGAAACGTCGCCATCGCCAAAGCATTCGGTATAAAGTCATAATATTATGTTTTGTTATTTTTTAGAGATGTTCTGAATAGAATTTCTATTACCTATACATACAAGACACGTTTTAATTTCAAAACAATTCTGTAATAGCTAGTGGAAACTCGGTTGACGCTACACAAGAACTCTATTGTTTGGGCGTTTGCAATTTGCTGGGTTCGTTCGTTTCTTCGATGCCGGTCACTGGATCGTTTTCAAGAAGTGCAGTGAATCACGCTAGTGGCGTGCGAACTCCTATGGGTGGAATGTACACTGGTAAAAAGCTCATTCAAATGTAATATTATTTCTGCAAAACTATTCATTGACAACTCATTTTCCAACATTTCAGGTATACTCATTATTTTGTCGTTGAGTTTATTGACGCCGTACTTTTTTTTCATACCCAAAGCAGCCCTAGCAGCAGTCATCATCAGTGCTGTTATTTTCATGATCGAATACGAGATCGTTAAACCCATGTGGAAATCAAGTCGTAAGTTGACATTATAGTAATTTTTCGGTACCTACTTGTTTGTTATTGCAATGCCACCTGACTACCGTACTTTGTATTCAGACATTTTTTGTGTAAAAAAACTTACAAATAAAATGAATTAATAATATAATGTTTACAGTTAATTGTATCTCATTAATGTATATAGTATTTATATAGTTGCCATTGGTTACAGTCTACATTAGAAATTAGCATTTATTTATTGGTTGCCATTGGTTATTCGGGCAGATCAGGTACAAGCTTGCATCAAATCGAATTATTGAACAATGCTTACCAGGGTGGCAGAGTTGCACTTACCGCAGAAAATTACACCCAAAAGGAGTTCAACAATCATAATTTTTTTAAGAGTTGCGATTTTTTACGAGCTACCAAATTTATTATATTAATCCACAGTATTACATCAAAATAAACTTGGTATAACTTTGATACTTTAGAGTTAAATCATACACTTCCGTACAAACAGCACGGGGTCCGCGATCTACCGCAGGTAGATTGCCTACCTGATAATGTACTGCTGCGATTCAGAATTTTTATTCAGGGCAACGGGAAAGATAAGATAAATTTTGAACACCATACACGTTAATGAATTGAACAAAGTTTGAGTAGGTAGTATTGAGTTGATCCATTTAACGGGCGACGAAGTGCACGGGATACTAGTAATATATAGTTACGTGCACCTAAATAAATCAAAAAACTAAGAGATCCTTGAATTGACATTATTCTCGAACAGTGTCACTGCATTTTTCACTTGTTTTAAACTGACCGATACGTTTTTGTTAAACAACTTGACTGTCACTATTAAATTCAATACGGTAAATAAATCATTAAAATACATTTTTTAGGATATTTAAAAATAAAGTTTTTAAGAATTAAGATATAGGCTCGTAAGTTAAAGCTTTATATTTCTCTACAAATATATCACGTAGTTATTAGACTTATCAGAGCGTAACACATCGATATACAAAGATATGTCGATTATAAATTCCGACTTTTCAGATTTAAGAACGATGATTGCAATAATATATTTTCTGGTCACGGTGGCGGAGCGATAACAAGCACAATATGCATACCAATCTTTCATGTAATATTAAAAAAAAAAATAACTTTGTGCGGCTTCATTGTTATGAACCTATACAATGCTAAATATTTAAATATTTTATGCATAATATTATATAAAAGTAAGTTATTAACGAATAATTAATACATTCAGAATGCAAATAAAATAAGCTTAATCATGTCTGTCATAATATATTATACGGTATGTAGGTACAGGGATACTATATTATATTATTCCGATGGATAAATAAAAAAATTGGTTACTTTCTTTGAGACTAATAGTAAACTCATTGTTATCACTCATCATATTCATATATTCAATCATTCATTTAAACCATTGATTTTATAATATATAGTATATTATAAAATCAATGTTTAAACCCTTTAAACCATTTATAAATAATCTATTTTCTCATATATATTATCATCTATAAATGATTCCCCTCATCTGTATAACTACGTAAAAACGATGAGTGTTTAAGGGGAGTCTGTACATTTGTCATCAAAACGACCTCGAAGCGACTGACAAAAATTAAGGTACTTTTAGTGGTTCGGTTTAAACTTTAAAGAATGTAAAGATTTTTGATTTGGTAAAGAAGTTTGCTTTGAATCGATTGGAGATTAAGTTCAATATTTTTAATATTTTTTAATATATTCAATATCAAAAACTGAAAAATGTATAAAATGTAAAAAGTACTCCGACCGATGCAAAGTAAACTTGTTTAAGCATTCAAGTATCTTTATATTTTTTATACTGGAAATACCTATACTTAAATTTTTGTCAGGCGTATAGCTCTTCACGTTCCTACATTTATTTTGGATATTTTTATCTAAGGACTAAGAACTAAATTACATGTGTATGAAATGCAATGTGCAAGTCATTTAAAATTGCCTATACTCAACTCCTTAAAAATGCTATATCGAATATAATAATTAATAGTACGTTAATGTTATGTTGATAATTTCGTAATTAGGTACTCAATTAATAGTATTGATAATAATCTGGAATATCTTTGACATTAGTAATATTATTACTTTGTAAATCTATTTAAATTATTATATTTTAATATTATACTAAATATCATTAGAATTGCCTATATACAGTGCCTTAAAAACGAGAGTCACATTATATAATTATATAATACCATAGTAATTGAGTAAATTTATGATTTATTTGAATTGAGTATAAACTGTAATAGTATCGATGTATGTTCAATAAAATATGCTGCTATATTAATAATATATTTGTATTAAGAAACATTTAAAAACTTTAATTTACAATTATCTAAGCAGTGACTGGATTTTTGTTTAAAATAAAAGTATAATCATTAAACCACATATTTTATTTGTATTTTTTGTCAAGTACCTAATAATCAAATACAATTATATATATATTAATGTAATCTAATAGATTAAAGTTATATATTCTGTGTATGTTTAATAATATGTACATATTCATAATGATTAATGTTTAGGAAAAGACTTGATACCTACGTTTGCAACATTTGTTTTATGCCTGGGCATTGGTGTCGAACTTGGAATATTAGTAGGTGTTGGCATAAATATCATGCTTCTACTTATACCTTCGGCTAGACCATTTTTACACATTGAAATGAAAAAGGTAAGATTTTAATTATTTTGAAGTTTTTTTAAATATTGATTTTTATATGAAAAATAAGTTTTTTCTTTGTTGTCGACCGACTAATTTAAAACTATTTGTGTCATACTTAGTAAATAAATGACGAGTCTTTTTGATGATTGCAGTTAAGAACCGGCCTGGATTATTTACTTGTGACTCCAGAGAACAGTCTTTACTTTCCAGCTGTAGACTTTATGCGAGCCAAAACGGATCGAGCCGCTGTTAAAATGGGACAGTCTAAACTTCCTGTTGTGGTTGATTGTAAACATATACTTGATGCAGATTTTACAGCTGCTAAAGTAAGAGTGAAAATAAAATAATACAGTACATTTTTGATTATCTTCACCCTCATGTCAATTATCTATACCTACCTACTACCATTGATTGTAAATACAAGTACTTATTATAATCGATGCTACTACATAATAGTAAATACTACTATTTAATACTAAATAATAAATGTTATGTTTTTTAATAATATGTAATATCATATTATCATGTGGGGGCCACAGCCCCCTCCCAACATTTTAGCCCTAGTTGTGCCACTGATTACCACTAATACATATAAAATATAAACTATAAAGTGTACTTAGTAGTTAGTATGCTTTCTGGCTTATACTCAAAGGTGTTTGGAACTTACTCTAAATTTTAAAATGCAATTTTTATTATACTAAGATAAATATTATTGTTTAAGATATAATAATTGTTGTTATTATCTAGGGTATTGCTGGATTGATAATGGACTTCAAAAGGCGAAAACAGCCATTATGTTTTTATAATCCAAGAATAAGTGTATTAGCTGTATTACAGGGCGTGTGCGTGGATGAAATTGTTCACTGTTTCACGTATGACGAACTGGAACAAACTCTCAATGGTAATAATACCCAATAGACATGATACAATTTTAATTTGTTTTATATTTAGGTAGTAGATATTATATAAAAAAAATATAAAATACTAATAAGTACCTAATTATTATCTATGTAATTAATATCATGTTTTTTAATGCATCAGACTTCTAATATTGTAAATAATATTTGTAATATTTGTAAATAAAAAAACTTCTACAATAGAAATGTACATAAATATAAATGGAATGGAAAAATATTAGATGTCCTAATAAAACTAAAATACATTTTTTTTAGATATCAACTCTTCTGGAAATCCTGCCGAATTAAAAGACATAGTACATACATCATCCGAGCAGTCACACGAAACCCCGCTTTTAAACAGAAGACACCATTAGATAGTAAATACACAAGCTATTTTATAGTTTAACGTTTTACTACATGATGAATAATTCTATTGTAATTTAATTTATACAGAATCATCATATATGAGTATTATATGACCTCATACAAAGGTCTAATTTTAATATTTTTTTTTTGTGAACTTTGTGTTTACATTCAATAATGACAAATTATTTTCATGTGTACAAATTTTGTTCACCCATCAAAAGTTAGAAATTAAGGAATCATTTTTTATTAATATTTTATTATTTTCAATAATTTTAATTTATTTATATATTTTTCTAATATTTATTTGTACACTTGCTCGTTGTACACTTGTACCATGCCTACTTGTGTAGTTTGTATAAATGTATGACAATATTTTTATATGTGAGAGGCATGAATATTTTTCTAAGTTAATTAAGTAAAAAAATTGTCAATTACATTTTGAATGTAAATTTAAGGTTAATTTTTAATAGTGTTGCAAATTATTTGTTTTTGTAGGTTCTCATTTAAATAATCAATATTTAAACTCAATTTGATGTATAATCTAAGTTTAAAAACTATTAATATTATTTTTAAATTGACAATATTTTTGTATATTAGTTTTGAATAGATAGATTTTTTTTTTGTGTTACGTGAAAATGTTGTATTGCAATTTATTTTATTTTACAATTTGTATTTCAAACACATGCAGGATAACTGATGCAAGTATTATTACAATCACTCAAACGTATTAATAAATATCCAAGTATATTTTTAATTGAACGTTGTTTTTATTTGGAGGAAAAATCGATAATTTACACGATTACCTATATTCAAGATTTCAAAAACTTTGATTATGGATATTACTTTATAATTCTGGAGTCACCTGAGCAGACGTTTGATTTCAAAAACATTTTTCTCATCGATTCTGGAGACGTAGTCTAAACATCCGTTATGTTCTTTTATTAACAAAAATTATATAAGATGATACTTAGGGTTAAAATTATAAACACTACTAACGACTTATAAAGTATATTTAATTTTTAAAAATGTAGATAGTATTAAGTAAATTGAATGATTAATGTTCATATGAGTCAGGCATAATTATCTACTTTATAGTTTACTTACACGACACTCGGCAGTGATTTTCTCTTACGTGTAATATTAAAATATTTTACTAATTATATATTTATATTATATTATTATGTTGTTATCATTCCGAATTGTATATTAGCCATTGGGTAAATATTTTAGTAAAAGATTCTTAATGTTTAAATCGAGCCACAAGTAAGTGGTAACCAATAAGTTACCTATATTGTATAATGATTAATAGTAGGCAATTAGGTAATTAAATTAGTGCAGTAAAACCAGCCACAGCAAACTCTGATACAGTTTCCAATAATTACTTATCTGCGCAATGTTTGATTATTACGTTTACATCTTATACAGATTAGAATGTGTAAAGATTATAGGTCTTTATTCAATTTCATGTAACTTGTTAAATATAATATAAAAGCCGTTCATATACACAACATATTTTGTAGTGTGATAAAAGTTATGTTAAAACGTTAGTGAATTTTTATAAACTTTTTACTATTGTTAAATGTTAATTGTTTTTTTTTTTTATGTTTTTTTTTTATTACTATTATCATTATCAGCTATAACATTTTCAAGAGACTTACTGTATTAAACATTGGTCACGGACTACTGGATCCATTCATCACTGTGTGAATATAAGATTAGATTTATGTATCAATTATTATGTGAGTCACAAATTCTTAGTAATATTTTAATTCAATTCTATAAATTTATTTTCTGACAAATGTTGTATCCGTCTTATACAAGTGAGTAACATTGCAAATTTTACTATTTTACTACTCCGTTGGTTTAAAAACTAGAGTAAATTGTGCTCTTATAAAAAGGTAAGATTATTATCTAGGGCATTTCAGGCTTTTGTTATATTTTAATTTTAAAGCGAGTTATGAGCATTTTAAGATGTAAAAACAATTTTAAATTTTAAAATACTCATAACTTGTTTTAAAATTAAAGCATAATAAAATGTTACGAGATGTCCTAGACAATAATCTTACCTTTAAATTGTATAAGAGGTCAATTTACTCTAATTTTTAAGCTAACTGAGCTAAACCTGATCTATTAAACGTAACATTTGCTGTGTTAAGCACTTGTAAGACGCACACAACAAATGGCTGTGTAGAGTCCTTTTACAAATTACAAAATAATATTATTATTAGTAGTACTAATAATTTATGTGTACAAAATAACTACCCTTTAAACAGTGACCTACCTACAGGCCTCCCACATCAAATGTTGGGCCCCTGTACTAAATGTACTCCCTGTCTACCTATGAAATTTTACTTTCATATTCTTCTTTTATGAATCTAAAAGGTTTTGGTGGTTTTACATAATAGTAATACGACATGTTTAATTTATTTTTGCCAAAATCATTGAATTTATTATACCTATTATTAATACCTATTTAGTTATTAATATAATAGAGTAGGTATATATTTATATAATATATTATTGTTATTAAATTTTGATTTAATACTGACTTACCATAAAACTGTGCGAAATGTGAATTGGCTAGTGCCTCGTAGTATAAATAGACAACATCATAAAATAAATTTAAATGTTTTAAAAATGTCATTATTATGGCATCGTGTATATAAAACATAATTTTTCATCACCTACCTATACATAGGTGCAATTAGGTGAAGGGGATTAGCCGCTCCAGTTTTATCAGTAGCCCCCCAGTTTTCTAATCATATTTTGTTGCTTATACAATTCTAGACCCCTTAAGAAAAATTTCCTCAGCTGCGCTTATGCGGTTACCTACTTATAAATATACGTAAACTTTAAACTTTATATTTGTTGTGTAATTTCGTCAAAACTTCAACTAAAAATGCCAACAAAAAAATTGTGTTTATATATTTTTTTTTGGTTTTAGTATGAACTACATATGAGAAATATTGTATACATTTTCAAGTCTTAGCAATAATAATATCGAACATTTTATTTTTTTTTCACCTCAAAATAATTAAAAAAATTGTCTTGGTTTTGACGAATTTTGATAAGACTTGAACTTCAAATGCATATAAAAAAAATTATAGTTCCTATGAATATCTTTATCTTTATGTATTATTAAAACGTGAGGCGATTTCTCATTACAGTTATATCTGAAGTTCTACTGGACCGATTTTCATGATTTATTTTTCTAACGCAAGTTGAACCATCAAAAGAGAAAAGTCCAAAAAATTAATTATTTAAATAGTCATTAGAAGTATTGACTTTGCCGTATTGTTACATAGCGGAATTCGCTGACGACCCCAGGCTGCCCCCGATTTAACCCCCCCCCCACTACTTCAACGTCTACTGACATTATCGTGGCTGCGATTTACATTTATTATATTTTATTCTGTGGCATTGTGCTCTTATTCGTCATCGTCATCTTATAAAAACCCAACCATTTTCGATTTCGTCATTTCGCTTACAGCAGAGAACGCTGAACTCATCAAAAGTCTCACCTATAAAAGGAAATTTTAGGAAAAATCCACCGGTGTATAATATATCGGTTGAGTCGGGCATGTTTGTTGCATTCTTATTATTTATCTTTCTCAATATACATATTACATATATATACCTTAATACACAAGACGAATCCTGTAAGGAGTTCAGAGTTTGGTCTGTCTCGTTATAGTCTGTGTCTTTTATATAGTTTATATATATATCAATATATATATATATAAACTAATGTTTGTGGGTAGATTAGACCTCTGGGAAGATGATAGGTTAATTTACAAAGGGTTAAATTTGTTTTTTTTTATTTATCAGATTTTAGTAGGGTTAGGTTAGGGTAAGATTTTGTATAAATTGATTATATTAATCCACGGTAGGTGGAACTAAGACTGGAACGACAAACTTGGTATAACTTTGATACTTTAGAGTTATTTATACACTTACGTACAAACCTACTTCATAACGAACTGCTGAGAATCAGAATTTTATTCGGGGCTACGGAAAAGATAAATTTTGAACACCACACACCGAATATTAAATAACGAATTGAACAAAGTTTGAGTCATATAGAGTTGATACATTTAACGGGCAACGAAGTGCAAAGGATCGGCTAGTTTAATATAATCCCTTGTTACCTATTTTTAAATAGCTATACAACTTATGAGCAACGTTTTAATAACAAATATTAATATCTATTTATTAATTGTCAAGCTTTTTGACAGCGCGAAAAATATATTGATTATTAGTATCTAGGGCCCGGAATTTCATGAATTTGCATGTTTTTTTTAACCATTAGATTTATTGCTAAGTGAGCTAGAAGTGCATTCCGAGACATTACGAAAAACATATCAAAAGTTTATAGTGCATATTTTTGCATATTTAGTGGTTTTCAAATTTTAGTGCATATTTCTTAATTTTACAATATCTTGGAGCATATTTCATAATTTATGAAGATACAGTATGAAAATTCGTAAATAAAAATATTTATTTATTTATATTGAAAGAACTTACTAAGTATTCTTATATCATATTTTTCAAATTTCCACTTGACTTTAAAAACAATATTTTTCCCCAATTGGTCAATATAATATATATTTATATATTTTAAGAACAGGTAACTTCATCGGCTTTTTCTTATTACGTCGATCGACGGGCATCGATGTCGGCGTTTAACTGGCTCAATAAAATATTTCATTGCGATAAGTTATCGACTAGGTATCGTAATAATATAGCCATATAGGTAGTTATCCTTATCGGAGATTGGTTGACGTGGAGTGGAGCTTTTTAGTGTACAAAAATATGTTGGAGTATTATATTTGAGATTTTATCAAAATCGTCGATTGTAAATTGTTATGTTTAAAAATGTATATTAATAAAATTAATGAAATAATGTTTTTAATCACTGGTCAAAGCAATTAAAATAAAAATGTTTTTTTTTCCCATATTTATAAATTTAAAAAAATAAATATTTAAGCGCATAAGTGCATACATATTT